TTGTCCGACGGTTGAAACCATTTGATTCAATTCTCAAATATTGAAGAAAAAGTGTCCAATAATGGGACTGAGAAATATAATAAGGAAATAAAAAAACCACTCTAATAACTGAATTAACTACATCTAAAAACTTATTGGGTGACTTATCCAAAAACATTTAAAGTTACTGCTTCTACAAGCAATTGCAGCTGATACACGAACAAAGTTTTCATCCAACCAGTGAATGGTAACTCCTTGGAAGCTTTTTTTTTTATTCGACCAAAGCTCTACTGTGCTGCATGAGTAATTAATACTCTTAATTTCATTTTTGATTACTTGCAAATTTCCTTCATATGACTCTAAGATTCTTTTCATAATTGTGTTCCTTGTTGGTATTTTCAGGTTCAATCCTTGAAAGATATTCTTGAAACTTTGATGTTGTATTATAGATATTGCACTCATTGCGTTCACAACAAAATTTTTTATTCTGTTTTCGAATACAGATTAGCTTAGAATTGGTTTGCCACCCTCTTTGGTCATTCCCAAAATGGAAGGTCGAATCAACTCAACTTCTTTGGATTTATGACTTTCGGAATTTGGTCTCATTCGTAAGTCTCTTTCTCTTACAAGATTTCTTTGAACTTTTGTATTTATCATAGTCTTCAATTTTGTTAGGATGGATTCTTTTTAAGTGTATATAAAAATTTGAAGAAGAATTTGTCATTCGTTTTATTGGTTTTTTCTGTGAAAGACACAGTTGATAATCAGCTGTAATGTTTTCACCATTATGTACTTCTTGTACTTTAAAATATTTTCCATCCAGTATGGAACTGCAGCCAAACTGTGGATCGTCAGGTTGTTCTTCTATTTGTTTAACGAATAGTGTGAGTGTTGAAGTTTCTGATAAACCACGAACACGGTTTTCATTTTTCTCTTTTTTTTTTAAATTCATACGAGAATTAGCCTTAGATTTTGGAGGTATGATTCGGCCGGAATCTGAATCTGACAATTCTTCTAGGTGATAATCAGGATTATCTGAACTTGAAGCAAATGGATCTTCCTGAGTATGATCCATTTGTTCAATATAAGAACTGGTGGATGCAATTGCACGATCAGATGAATTCATATTGTTCAATCTGGAAGTGAAAAAAGTTAGACAGTGACGACAGGGTGTCCAAAACAAAAAGGAAGTGACTTATTTCCTTATGGGGGATATACTACGTACTATATGTATAGAATAAAACAGATTCAGTATTTCTTTCATAATTTTTACATTGATCGTTGTAATGTTAAACCGAATTATAGATGATAATAATTATAAAAATCACAGTAACAACCTAAACGACTTTCATCTATAACAACTCAATCATAACTGAGCTAAATGGAATTACCACAACTTCGTGATCCTTGCAGCAGACAAGATTTTGCAGGATTTTTCCTGTAAAATTGTCCTCTCGAACGGTAGGTCGTTTGGTAGGAAGCGTGCATGCGCGCTCTGCTTCCCAATTCCGCATACCCCTCACGTCGCATCGGCCACCAGGCCTCCCGGATCTGAGCCCCAGGGATTTCGGGACCCAGCATCTGCCCAGGCGCGACGCGAGACTTATCTTGTGCCTGGTCTAGCTCTCGTCTTCGCGGCACAGAAACATGGTCTACGTGGTGGTTCACATCTGTCCCGCCATGAAGGTCTCCCCAAGCTCCATTTTGCTTCAGGACACCTGCCTGGCTTCCACCACCCCCAGCTGCGCTGGGTCGTCAGACGTGCAACAATTCGGGAACCGTGACGCTCCTGCGCGTAACTCGTCCCAACTTCCTACAGGACCACTAAGGGTCTTCGCGGGTAGGTTCCGCAACGCCTGGCGTTGAACGACCTCTTCGTTTTCCTGACCAAGTGTATCCTTCACGTTTAACGCCCGCCGGCGACCCAGATTTAAGTCTTCTAGACTAAATCCTCATTCTTCTTCTACGTTTACCGCCCGCCGGCGATCCAGACCTTAGTCCAATTCCCTTTCAGCGTTTACCGCCCGCCGGCGATTCAGACCTAAGTCTAATCGACCAAGTCTGCCTTCCACTTGTTCATTCTGGTTCTGGACTTCCTGTCCGCGTCTTCTCGAGCAACTGCTCTCAATCGAAGTCGACAATGGTTTCGTAAATTCATACGGGTGAGTCACAGGATGACTGTGGATGACTGTGTACTTCCACGCGTTGCGTTTTCATATAAATAGGCAACGCCTCCTGACTTTGCCATCTCGGCATCGGTACAGGCACAAATCTCATAGTTGGAGGTAACGTTGTTGCCTCCCGACACTCTGTCGTTGCCAATCTTGGCGTATAACATTCTGCATCTATTTGTCTCTCAGTGCCAAACTCTAACTGAGGTGCACTTCGAGTCCTAATTTCAGCCTCTTGTAGGTGGCGTCCAGTATTCAAACTGGGTGTCACATGTATGCCTTCCTCTTCGTTCTCTTCGAACAAGTTCCATTTTTGTGGCGTTTTCGGAGTTTTGGAATCCCTAATACGCTTTAAAATGTCTAGGTATGCCGGAGTATTATCGCGATTTGGGGATTGTATCCCATGTGATGTTTCGCTTTCTCTAGCTAATCGTCTCACAGGTGAAGCGAAAGTGACAGGGTTTTGTTGCATTGTAACCACGGTAGAGGGACTGACGTCTTCTTGATTAAAACTGAGACGTCTTGCAGAAGACAGCCTCAGACTAGCCGTCTCTGCTGGGGATCTTGGAA